TGGGACCAGACGTATCCCTTGACACCGGGAGCGATGCTTCGAAGACCCTTTCAGAGTCCTCTGATTTGCCATTCGTACCGCAGCAACAGGTGACAACAGAAAATGCTAATGTGACAGAAACTGACGAGGAATACCGCTCTGCAGACGATCCGGATGAGTTTAGCCCTTACGGGGCATATGCGGAGGACTTACCTTCTTATGCAGAGTCTGTTCAAGGAAATACAAGTGCGATTGCTCCCGAAAGCTCCGCCACAGACTATTGCACTTCTGAGCTGAATGCACCAGCGACTGATCAGTCAGCAAATTCCAATCGAAAAAGTATGCCTGATAGTGTGACGGAATTACCGTTGGAAAACATAAACGGTCAGGAAGAATCGATGAATCAGGAGGACGACGGAGTGAGAAGTTATACGCTGCAGTCCCCTTGTCGGATGGCCACTGATTTCGCGCCAAGCAATGAACCGGTGGTCCCTGCAGACGGTCCTCCCAGCAGTCTGTTTTCCGATACGGTGAGTTCTGCTCAGTCGGCCTCGTTCATCAAGAATGTTGAAAATGGTGCTGCCGGTTCTACCCTTCCGGATGCCATGGTCTGGCGACACCTTCGAAAGGCACCTATGCTTCCTGAGCAGCACATGCCTGGCGGATCCACGTTTGATTCCGCTGAATTCCAGGATGCCACAGAAGATCCTACAGCCAATGCAGCGGGACAATGAAAAATTTTCACGCCACCGACGGGACCTTAACGAGCAAACCTACATTCTCTATCATCTGACTGGCATGATTTCCAGAGTAGACAGAAAATTCAGATTTCCATGGACAACACAGTGCTCAAAGACGGGTGTCTCTCTATGTTTTGCTTGCTGACTGGATGGAGCTTGTGAGAAGTTAATTAGTGTTTGGAAGAATGCCAAATAATTAAACAGAAATAGCTTAATTTTGTCTTTTGTCATATACGCAGTCTTGTTTTCCGTATTGTGCATATAGTGTGTCCACTAATAAAATTTTGTTTTAATATTCAGTAGAATATGCGTGAAAATAAACATTAAGATAGCGCGGAGTTGTCGAATATGAAAACAATTGTCAGAATCGATCTACATTATGCTAACGTAACAATCCAAAAAAACTTGACGTCGTGTAAGACGTGAACAATGATGAAAAACGTTTACTGCAAATGAATCATCATCATCATCTTCCATCGCCTCTTCAGGTCGCGGAGGCAGACGCGTCAGACAGTGCTTCCAACGTTCCCGATCCTGTGCCAGAGTCTCAGCTTCGG